TAAAAAATGTCTATAATTGAACGATAAATGTAAATAATTCTACTTGAAATATATAATTTTTAGATATTGTACTAGTACATACTCACGATAAGGCAAGACTAATCAATAAACTAACTCCATTGTTCCCATCTACCATAGTAATAAATATTTAAATATAATTTCAATTGTTGACATCATGAGTCATTTGAAGCTAGACCACTATGGAAAACCTGGAAGCATTGGACGGCCGATTCATCCTATTGTGGTACTCCTCATCAGTACGCATCCACGATCCCGCCCCCGCGATATTCGAACTCAGGACCTACTGGTCTCGCGCGTGAGCACTTAATCACTAGACTACAAATTATGCAACTGAAATTAATCAGTTTTAACACCCTTATGTATATTGATTTGATATATTGATTTCCATTGTCAATATTGTTACTTCGGTAAACTCGATTTGAGTTTACATGTCATATGCTTTATTATTATACTTTCAAATGGATAGATAAATAAGAATTTTACTGTATTTGTAAAATGAATTACTAGGCAACTTGTCAATATAAAACGTGACAACATTCAATAATATGAATATCATATCTTGATTAGGGTATCATATATAATACTAAAGTTGAAATGTTTTCAGTATAAAAAAGGACATTGAATAATTGAATGGGATTAACTGACAGAATTGCAATTGTTGCGAAGATAGAATTCAATAAAATATTCACAATTGAAGTGTTAAAAACCGCATTCAAAAAAGGTGATAGGTTTTAATATATCTATTTTTTGAAATAGGATATCTATCCGTTGATATAATATAAGCGAACGGGTATGAGACAAGTGAGAATTGTGTTTTATAAATAACTATAGGAATATTACATTATAGTTTATATTGAATTATACAAGTTAGATCATTTTCCTCATCTCACCATCCCCCATCTATTTATGTCAAACATATCTCATATCACTAGTTGAAATCTCCACAAAACCCCCTACTGATATCTCATATCAGTCATCATTTTCCCAACAACAACAAAAACGTCATATAGTTATATTTTTATTAAAAAAACTATTGTTGTTGATTTATCTTTTTCTAATAAAATATGAGGCTTGAAACATTTTCATAAAGCAACAGGAAAGCTCATATATAAACTTTCACTGGTTAATTTAGGGGGAGGATAAACTGTATTGGAAATGGATTGTTAATTAGCAAATTATCAGAAGGAGTTTGTGGAGATTTTAGAGAGTTCATAGATTGAAATCATGAGTCAATTGAAGCTAGACCACCATGGAAAACCTAGAAGCACTGGACGGCCGTTTCATCCTAGTATGGGACTCCTCAGCAGTGCACATTCACAATCCCGCACCCCGCGAGATTCGAACCCGGGGTTGAAGTTAGACATTAACACCATTGGATGCCGACCAGCTCAGTGGTCTAGTTGGTTAGGCGCTTGGCGCGAGACTGATAGGTCATGAGTTCAAATCTCGCGGGGGCCGGGATCGTGGATGCGCACTGCTGAGGAGTCCCACAATAGGATGAAACGGCCGTCCAGTGCTTCTAGGTTTTCCTTGGTGGTCTAGCTTCAATTGACTCATGATTTCAGTCTGTGAAATGAGAAAAGTATTAATAACTAAGGGAGGACTTGATTTCGTCTTAATTTTAACTTACTATTATGCATATGAACATCAAGGATATCAGGAGAGATAAAACACAGGACTTTTAAACCTGGTACCATTACACCATTGACCTGAAACTGTTGAACTTATTTAATGAGAATAACTCAACTATATTAAATGTGATAATACAAACTATTAGAAGGATTTCGAATAGTACTGTTTTGTCTGATTTACAGAAATATTTACCGTTAAAACAAAAGTAATTATAACCAGTAATTGTTACATGAACAGTGAATGAATACAATTGTCGAATGTTGGAAATTTTAATATCCGAAAATTATTAAAAATATTCAGTGAGACTATAATTCATGGAGGACCTTTGAGCAACGCTAAAAAGACTTTGAGAATGTCCACCTATATACTACGGCTACATGAGGTTTAGTATCAGGGATCAGATATAGGGTTTTCATCGCGAACTGACATCAACCATAATGCCAAAACCCTAGTTAACCAAATTAATGAGTGAATTTCGCATCAAACTTCAAAACCTGTTATCGTAAATATGATTGGTTCATTCATAAATCTTAGTCTCGTCAGATATTCACTTAAAAGTGGTCAGTTTTAATCGGAATTTTTGTGGAACATGACAAGCTGATCTTTCGTACTGCAAACATATTGAAAAATATATTTAATGCAATTAAGATTATAGAAGAACATTTATGTTTGCTATTGTGTGTGGTTATTTTAGTGAAGAATGATTAGTAATCTGTAGTGACATTTATCATATGGTCAACAATTACAAACGATTGTTTGAAGCATTTCAAAGATATGTTACTAAAAGATGAATGTACGCAACTGCTATCATCAACATTTTAGGGTTCTTGAATAATAATTCACTTGAGTATTCTGGTTTATATAAGTAGACTGAAAGCTAAATTAAATTATGTACTTTGAAATAAGCAATTAAAGATGGATCTGTTAGATCTATTCTATTCCTCATACTTTATGATATTCCTTATCATCTGGGTTTTGGTTTATGAACTGGATATAAGGGAAACAATCTTCATTAAGTTTCCAATATCAAATTTTCAATTCTGTTCAATAACTGGAAACTATCTACGAGGAGTGAGAAAAAATTCGATTCATATCGATATTTAATCCATAAACATTAATTAGAATAGATTCCTATTCAACTAATATGTTGTGGAAAGGAAACATTCCGGATGTGATAGAACAGAAAATAACATCTCCCTTTGTCTGTAATTCAAAATAAAAAATAACACATCGACTTTTTGCAATGACGATAAATTATCCACATTATAGAATGAACCATTAATATAGGTTTTGTTTCACATCCATTGTTTTTTGTCACCAGTTAGTTGTAAATGGAAAATCAACACAAAGTCATTGATTTAAATACAAAGTGAACGAAATCACTTTAAATTTGTTAGCCTACTGGATTCGTGGTAATTGCTAAATATTTGATTTATATTACGGGTTGATTTTAATTGAGCAACAATTAAAAATGGAAGTAGTTTATAGCCGTTCCTTCTCAGTATGATCTCCTAGGTAGTAAGTATTCCTACTGGGGGCTAAACTAAAGACAGCCAAACGTCAATCTAGGGCTTGATTTATATGCCACACAGCTAGCATCTAACAGTTTGCATGTTTTCATTCAATCAATTCACCATATTGTGCAACTTTCTTCCAATATCATTGGTAGATAACTGCTTTTTATCAGACATGGTTGAACTCCAGTGGTCACAGCTTCTCACTAAAACTACTAGATTCATTTCTGGTGATTAGTCATCAGTGAGCACATGATAATTATTTGTATAGAGAATTTTCGGAGATTTTAAAGGTGTTAGAGAGTTTGTGGATATACCTTGCTGGGAGTTTCGTTATTAAAATGAAAATCCTGTTTAGTGATTCCTAATTTTCAATGGTTGTCTAACGAAGGTAACTAAATGATCTTAACTACTAAATTGCTAATTATAAAGAAGTCTGGAAAACTTTTAAGTCTTTAAATTTAAGAGAAACTTACTAGCCTTATTGGTGACCTATTATTACTTCTGACTGACATATGCAAACAATTGATCCTATTGAAAAAGCAGTAAGCATTAATTAACTATCTAAATTCCTATTTATAAGATTCATCAACAATTTGATGAACATACTGCCATCAAAGTGGACAAAAATCTCTACACAATCACGTAGTTTAATGGTACTGTATAGTTTAATAACAACATTTACATGTCAAATCATTGTCCATTTATAGCTGTTAAAGTATGGTTAGATACTTGATTTTGCTAAAATAGCACGTTCACAGGTTAGAATACATGGTTATATAAATGATTGTTTTAAAGAAACTTTGATTTATACATATGTGAGTTATTAGAGAAATATAAATCAACTTTAAATATACATCCAAGTTGTCTGTGAGAAAGTACAATATCTGTTAGTACATAAATGTGTCATTCAAAGTCTCTTTAAATGTCAATGTTTACATGAATAAATTGTGATGAATATCTAGCAACAGATTCTAAATTATTATGGATATATGTAATTATTTAAATTCAAAATTAATATTAACTGTAGAATTGGATGAAAGTACAGCAACAACAAACGCAGGAGGAAACGACCAGTGTAGCAGCAGCCTCAACAGCAGTAGGTCTCAATATACTCAAAGGGAAAAACAAGATACAACACAACAGGCACCAATAAATTCACATTTGATGGAGACGCTCTGGAAGATGTAGAAACATTTACATGTATTGTCAGCGTCATTGGTGAACACGGTGGATCTGATGCAGATGTGAAGGCGCGGATCGGCAAAGTAATAGCGGCATATCTACAACTGAAGAACATCTGGAACTCAAAACAATTGGCAACCAACACCAAGGTCAGGATTTTCAATACAAATGTGAAGACAATTCTACTGTATGGGGCGGAAATAGAGACAGACATGAGAAGAATGAGCAAAAATTGGATAGTACTAGAAAGAAAGGTCCAGAACAGAGTGGGTTGAAGAATGCTGGTCTGCGGCCTATGGTCCATTTGGGGTCACAGGCTGTAGTAGTGGTAGTAATAGTAGTAGTAGTAGTAGTAGTAGTAGTAGTAGTAGTAGTAGTAGTAGTAGTAGTAGTGTAGTTGTATTTAAACGGAGTTTCATATTGGTCAATAGTATTTGTAACAGTTAATAACTTCATAAAATAAATAGCTTTGTGGGCTATCGGGATTATTTTTAACCTAGTTGGCTTAAATGGACACTGTTAGCTGAAAGTGCCTAGTTAATCACAACCAAGATGAAACACTTACTCTCCTGTACATTAATTAAAACTCATCCTAAATGTTTCTTCGTCCAACGCTGACTGTCCTATTGACTGTTCATCTTCGAGATGTCATTTTCGAGCCATTTTAGAACCAGAATTATCCGATTCTTTAATACCCAGAGCGTCATCATATTCATTTGCAAACACAGATTGAATATGAGGTACATGATACAAAAAGACAAGAATGTTTATTTGATAATTCCACTTTGAATAGATTAATTTGGTAGATTTTTTAGACGAATTATTAGTATTTATATGAATTAAATAATCATTTGAACAGGAAGTAGAATGCATCTCAGATATTCGTTTTGTGCGTATTTTTGAAAGAAAAAACACCTACTTGATTTTGATCGGTTTAATGTAAGATCTAATTTCTCTTAAAAAAAGGAATGAAACATAAATAAACTTATAAGCAAAGATGGATAGTGGATAGCAGTGGAATCTAGGACGCGCGTTTCGTCTTATTTGGGACTCATCATCTGGATGTACCTGCATCTCAGAGTTGGTTTTCACTTTGAGGCTCGAACCTAGAACGAAGTGGATAACTCGATGGCGTTTAAAGCGAACGGTGCTGGGTTCAAGTCCCATAATGAACGTCAACTCAGATATGCAGGTACATCCAGCTGACGAGTCCTAAATAGGACGAAACGCGTCTTGGATTCCACTGCTAATCAATATCCATCTTTGCTTAAAACGCTTGTGAATTAAGGCAATGTCGAGGCAATACGCATGTTATGAACATATACCAATAAGAAACTGATCAATTGCAGTCCTTAACATTAATGAAAATATTCAAGTAAACAATACGGTTTGAATATAAATAAACTTATTTTATGGTTATAAACAACATCTTATATGAAATATTTCAAATTATTATTGAAATTTAAGGTTAATAACATAATGATTAAAAAAACTTGTAGCTCAATCGAACTCTTTCGATAATGATGATGATGCTTTGGATGATGATGATGATGATGTTTTTCAGTACAACACGAACAACTTCACAACACAATCAATTAAGCTGAATGAAATTTAAGAAAAAAAAACATGAAGAAGTTTAAACTTTTCGCAGTAATTTATGAACTTCTTTAAAATGAGTTTTCAATTTTTGTTATATGTTACAACATACATGAATGAAATGATCTTGTTCGTTGTTGTTGTTTTTTTGACATATTCTATGAATGAGTACTCATGTTTGTTTGATGAGGCATAATTAAGCTTGATTTATGATGACATTGTACTTTGTTGTCTGATTATTGTCATATCTTCTTTTAGTAAATATGTTTTTCTCTCTCAGTATGGACAACTAATCGAATATGTAAGTAATAATGACGAATAAATGAAAAAAAAGGATTTATTATCATTATCATTATTATTGTAAATGTAATTAATGATGTCTAGTTATGAACAATCATTCTTAATAAAACATAAATAAAAACAAGAAAAAAAAAGGATAATTGTACTTTTTCGTTTTTTTTCTTCTTGAACGAACTTGTCTTCTTTTTTTTCTTTTTTTTCCTATTTAAAAAAAATGGACCATTGATGTAAATATTTACTTAAGACCCGCATAAATTTATTTTATAAATAAATAGGACTCAATATTTCCATTGAAGTACAAAAGATTATTGATTTAGTGCAACAATCAATAATTACTTCATTTTTTTTGGAGTGGGGGAGGAGTATGTGCCTTAATTTCTCATCATTTAAATTGAATAAAAGAAATCAATATAACATAAGGTTTTTGCATAGATTATTTACCTTATTTATCTGTCTAGAAATATGTTTATTAATGAGCTAATGATTATTTGATTTGATTTGTTTCATTGTTTTCTTTTTTTTCTTTCTTTTTTTTCTTTTTCTTTTTGGCTCACTTATATAAATATCATTTAGAATTTCTTAATAAGAAACCTACTTGATTTCATTTTGCAAGTATCACTTGACATATACTGACTTGTTTATTATTATTTTTGTCTCGCTCAGTCTTTCTCTCGTCTGATTAGTGTCGATTAAACCACAGTTGGTTTTTTTGTTTATTTGTTTTTTTTCGGATGGGGGGGGTGAAGGAAACCATAAACATTTCGTTTTATATTACAGTTTTACTTTTATTCAACAGATGGGAATCATTATTATTATTATTATTACTACATATTGATAGATAAGATGAACAGTTATTCACACTATTAAAACTAAAGATATTTTTGCAACATTAATCACAATATAAAAAAGGTACAATAATGATCTTTATCTATTGAATGAAGTAGTTATTACTGATAGAATGTTGTAGTGTCGGTTATTATATTAAACCCATATACCTTATTCTAGCTTTCGGACAGGCTAATCTATTCATTCTACTTGAGTCATATTTTGACCTTGTTAATTATTCGCTTATCAATCTTGACTGTTTTTATATGAGCTCATATATGTGTATACCTTTCTTATCCTATTCATCAACTTATTTTTGTATGACTATAAATATTGATTAACGCTTGACTAAATGGAGTTGGCTTACATGTCATCTCCATTGCGAGTCGTTTCGCTTCTCACTATTCTATTCACTTTATATACAAAATATATGTATTCAAATGTCCATTATCATTATTTGACTTATTTAATTCCGTCAATGACGAACGTGATTTAATTTGATGATTAGATACGAGGATAGGCGATATATACATTTCGACAACAATCATTCATACGATCAAATTGGAGTCAGAACTCGGGCTACTAAAGTGAAGAGCCCATCGACGACATCGTCCAATCTAAATGACGACAAAATAAAGGGTCCCACTAAAATGTAAACTTTCAGATCATAGAAATTGATGTAAAAATCAATCGATAAATTGTTGTAACATCAATATTTATGTAAATATGATTCTTAAGTTTTTATTTGTTAAGATTTCATAAAAAATTGTTTAAAAAATAAATATGAACTTATTAAGTAGTGTATGTTTCTTTGGTTTTTTTAAAAATATAATTTTTTGGTTGACTGAAGCTCTTGGTAACTATGTTATTTTATTTATTTATTTGAACACATAGATATTGGTACAAGGGCACACCAGGTACATATGCACCACACAAATATCATTAGATTTGCGTGAGGGCTGCGATGATGCCCGGGCGCCCAAACAGAAGCAGGTGGTTACCTTAGGGGATCACACCCGGATCCTTCGACCTAATGGTCTGATCCACAAGGTAGTGGAGCATCATAAGGAGATGCAGTCCCATGGTAGGCAGTGACCAACGATTGGTTCATACTCCATTTGTTCCCCCAGCATACTGGAGCCCATGTGAACCATCGGGTTAGAATCAGGGTTTTACAACTCCCCTATGTGAATTCTCTGTGTCCACCGACCTGGTTAAAGCACAGGCCATTCGCTTTTCGTCCTCTTAATTTTGTAACCAAAACCTTCGCCACGAGAAGGCAGTGAGTAGGACTTCTCTGACAGAGATTATATGCGTGTGGCCATGCGATAGTATTTGGAGAGGGAGAGCGGGCTCTCTCCACTCTCGGCCGTACCAGGGCATTTGGGAGAAAACTGGCTCACGAGAGCGATTCGGGTTCTTTGTGTTATACGATAAAGCTATGCTTTTCAAATTGTAGATAGTCTAGATATTGTCTAGTTCTTTTTAGTTTGGTGAATTGATATAAATTTCATCCGGTAGTTTAGCGGTTATATTGTCAACTGAGATAGTGAGCCCGAAGTGATTTATAATTTATGTAAGAGTATATTTTTCTTGATAACCACTAATTAGCATTACTTTTCCCGAACTGTCTCTGATCATCTTACTTAATTTCAGATATAATTGCTTATTCATGAAGGTGGTTTTATGTATCTAGGTCCAGAATATATAGATGTTTGATGAGTTACAAATCCATGCTAATACCTCCATACACAATGAACAAGTTAATGGCTATCTGAATTTAGTAGCCCAGAGGACAATACGTTCGTGTTTGGAGCGGTAGGTATTGAATTTGAGCATTATTATGAAGATTGACACTGGATTTTAAGTACTTTAAGTCGACTAGACCTAAACAAAACGAAATGCGTCTCCTAGATTCCACTGCTAGCAAAATACCAAATATAATTTCTAGAGACTAAAAGTTATGTAGAGAGAGTTCTCTTAGGATGTGCATATTTCATCAAAGATTAGTCAGTTGTAATTCTGAATTTCAACAACAGAAAAACATCAACCCCTACTATTTACAATTAACTCCATCTGGAGCCTTTCTAGGGTTACTGTCAGTTCCAAACCAGGATAAAAGAGGAGGGTTGGGTGTAGAATTAGTAACTTTATCTCATTAAAAAGAACCTTTCTAAAAAGACGTTAACTATCTATAAATAAATATGTTATGTTTAACTGTTACTAGAATCAATTAATAGTCGGTTGAAAATATCCCAAGTAATATTTCATGTATCTCAATTATTCAAATACGAAGTTACCTTTTATTATCTTGTTCCTAAACGAAGATTATCAAAACACTAAAATGATGTAACGCATACAAGTTACACATTGATTGAAGAAAACCTGGTAAAAACAATTAAAGATTATTATTATTATTACTTAATATCAGTAATTAAAGTAGACACTTGATACAACTTGATAATTACATAACTTTAACCCAGCAGGTTCAGAAAATATTTACTGTACTGAATATTATTTATAAAATCAAAATAGTAGTTAATCTAAGGCTAACTTGATAACTAGTTAAACGACACTTATGACGTTATGAAACACTGTGTCTTTAACTTTTTATGACTTGTGTGTTGACAAAGTGTTCTAAAAAAAATAAACTAAGTATCTTAGGTAAATCACTACTTATAAAGTAGTTTAATAAGTGGTGACAATTGTTCTACAAGTATATTTACAAATTTCACTCAATTTTAGTTGAAACAGATTCAGTAATTTTATGACGTTTGGTTAAAAAGGGCTTCAATAGTTGAAATCATGAGTCAATTGAAGCTAGACCACTATGGAAAACCTGGAAGCACTGGACGACCGTTTCATCCTAGTATGGAACTCCTCAGCAGTGTTCATCCACGATCCCGCCTTGTGGGATTCGATCCCACGACCTATCAGTCTCGCGCGTGAGCGCTTAACCTCCACACCACTGAGCTGTTCAGCATCCAACGGTATTAATGTCTAACTTCAACCAATCTACAGAATCGCGCGACCGTACATCATTGTCTTTAGTGAACTGATATCTCACAACAGGTCTGGTTGAACTCCACTGATCACTGCTTCTCACTAGAATTCCAGGAGTCTCATAAGTCCTACTAAGTTGTTCCCTAATA